GAGTCTCTGTCCTGAGCATGTGATACCTACACGAGACATAAATGACTGCAATGTGCCCTTTGCACATATAATGCATGTCCTTGACAATTGTGTGAAATGTGAAGCCCAACACCTTGTTCTCAGCACTGTTGACAAAGAAAAGGACAGTAAAGTTTAAACTGAACTTAAGCCATTGTGTACTGTGTGTATGAAGGAGAAATCACAAAATGGAAAGATTGTCCATGCTCCCAAATAGGTAGGATTAACATAGTAAAAATGACAAATGTACAAAAAGGAAACTACAGATTCAATGCAATAACCTTCAAAATCCCATCAAAAATCTTCCCAGACCTTGAAAGAACAATATTCATCTTCATATGGAAAAACAAATAACCCAGCATAGCCAAAACATTCCAGTACAATAACAGAACTTCTGTAGGTATCACCATCCCTAACTTCAAGCTCTGCTATACAGCTTTAATAAGGAAAACAGCTTGGTATTGGCATAAAAATAGACAGGTAGACCAATGGAATTGAATCAAAGACATGGAAATAAATCCACACATCTATGAACTCCTGAATTTTGACAAAGAATCTAGGATTATAAAATTGAAATAAAGAAAGCATCTTCAACAAATGGTGCCTGCATAACTGGATTTCAACAAGTAGAAGAATGCTAATAGATCCATATCTGTCACCATGCACAAAACTCAAGTCCAACTTGATCAAGGACCTCAACATAAAACCAACTTACTGAAACCTCATAGAAGAAAAAGTGTGAAGTAGCCTTGAACACACTGGCTCAAGAGACCATTTCCTAAATATAACACCAGTAGCACAGAAGCTGAGAGCAACAATTAATAAATTGGACCTCGTGAAACTAAGAAGCTTCTGTAAAACAAAGGACATAATCAACAAGACAAAACAGTAACAATGTCTGACAGATCTAAACAGAGAACTCCCAACAGAGGAATCTCAAATGGCTGATAGCACTTAAGAAATGCTCAACATTCTTAGCCATCAGAGAAATGCAAATCAAAACCACTCTATGATACCATCTTATACCTGTCAGTATGGCCAAGATAAAAAACACTGATGACAGCTTATGCTGGAGAGCATATGGAGTAAGGGGAACACTCCTCCATTGCTAGTAGGAGTGCAAATTTGTACAGAAGGTTTTGAAATCAGTATGGTGGTTTCTCAGAAAATTGGCAATCAATCTACCTTCAGACCCAGCAATACCACTTTTGTACATATACCCAAAGAATGCATACTCACACCATAAGGACATTTGCTCAACTATGTTCATAGCATCCTTATTCATAATAGCCAGAACCTGGAAATAACCTAGATGCCCCTCAACTGAAGAATGGAAGAGGAAAAAGTGGTACTTTGCAACGGTACTTAGTTGTAAAAAATGATGACATCTTGAAATTTTCAGGCAAATGGATGTAACTAGAAAAGAAACCATCCTGAGTGAGGTAACCATGACCCAGAAAGACAAATATAATATGTGCTCGCTCATAAGTGGATATTGGACATAAAGCAAAGGACAACCAGCCTACACCACACAACCCCAGAGAACCTAAATAACAAAGAGAATCCTAAGAGAGACTTACATAACTCCATCTAGGGAGGGAAAAGAACATAATATCCTGAGTAATTGGGAGTGGAGGGACAGGAAGGAGGTTAAAAGGTGAGGGAAGACTATGGAAGAGGAGGAAATAAAAATGTATAGCTCAATAAAACACATTAATTCGTGAAATAAAAAAGAAAGGCGGTCAGGGCCCATGTAAATAGGAACACAGGAGGGCAATGGAGCAAGAATGAGGAAACAGTTCACGCCTGCATTGTGGAGTCAAGGTAACAGTGGAACCCGAAATCCCCGCAGGGTAAGGAGTCTTGTCTAGGAGCCCTACTGCTGGTAAAATGACATTCCCTATGTTGGTGGCAGAAACTAACTGTTGGAGTGATTTTATGTGACAGTGTTTCTTTCTTCATGGCAGACCAGATTTGCGAATAGAAAAACTACACGTATTTACAATTCATAAAGAACTATTTCCATGGTCCTTCAGAGAATATAAGTCAAGATTCATGGAGCCTTTGGGACATTCTGACTGAGTTTGTGTGTGACAGGTGGCCACAAGAGACAGTCATGGGCACTGGCCTGTTCAGATGCAGATTCTCTGATTAAAGTTAAGGTACAGAAAAGAAAGAAAGAAAAAAAAGCACATACATGTATTTATTTATTAGCTGAAATTCACATAATCTAACAGGTTTAAAATAATTAAGAGAAAAATGAAAAAAAACCTATAAAATGACTAGCTCAGACTGGGTATATAGCTCAGTTGGTACAGTACATACTTAAAGTGTGAAGTAGCCTTGAACACAGCACCACAATTAACCAGAAATGGCAGTACCTGCCAGTAACCTCTGCACTCAGGAGGTGGAGGCAGGAGGATCAGGAGTTCAGTGTTAGCTGAGACTCTTTCTAAAGACAAATGCAGTAAAAGGGAAGAGGCCACACTTCCCCAGGAGTAGGAAGTAGCCTTCTGAGGATTCAGGAAAACTTTCTCCCTCAGCCTACCTGACCTCCATCTGCTCTCTAGTTCTCCTTCCACTAGGAATTTTAAATATTAAAGAAGGGCAATAAGGTGAGGAATTGGGACACTTTCTGTTCCTGAAGAATTGCTGTGTTAGCCGAGCTGGAGTAACAGAGTCCCACACTGACCACAAGAGAGGGGTCCTTCCGGGATGACCTTGAAGCATGTTCGTTTCTTTTGTTGTCACTTTTATTGGCAACATGCCCATTATATGTAATAATATGTTTACTATGATATATATATACTGTATTTTTAGTCACCCCAATTACACTCTTGTGCCCCTCCCACTCTTGATGACCTTTCCCCAATTTGCCTTCTTCTGCTTTTGTGTGTATATTTTCATTTTTATTAAGCAGTGAGCTTCACTAGGGTTGCTGAAAGGACCTTAGGTGTAGGTTATCTACTAGAGGATGGAAACGTTACCAGCGGTTTCGTCCCAAGGAAACCACCTCTTCCTCTCCTATCAACCATTAACTACCTATAAATCCTCAGAGGTATGATGCTGCACCCCAATTATAGAGTGTTGATGCTACCACTCCGGTGCAGATCATCACAGCTGCTCTGAGTTCAAGAGTTCAATGGTCATATCATCCCCAGAAGACAGCCTCTTCCATGATGTTCCTAAGTCTTTGAAAGGGTGATATAGGTGTCTAACTATATCATGACTGAGCACTCAACAGTCACTTATTTTCATTACTTTGACTAATTGTGGATCTCTATAATTGCTGATGCCCACTGGAAAAAAGAACCATTTTGGATTAACCAGGCAGCAGCACTAATTTATGGACATGAGCAAAATTATTTAGAATGCATTTGACAAGTGCTTCAAGTCCATTTAGAAAAACAAAAATGGTAACTTCCCTACTGCAGACTATGACCTCCCCAGTCACAAGCTTTTGACAGTGGGCCACAAATCCAAGCAAAAAGTAGTTGGCTGCCGTTACAACAGACTTGCACTATTATACTAGTGGATACATCTTCAGTCAGCAGTGTTGTACAAAGAGCTCACAGCTGAATAAAAATATTGATGACAACTCCCCCAAGTAACCTTCATAGCATCTTCAAGGAGTATGAAAAACTTGCTGATTTATAACTAGCTACCCAACACTGTGACAACAAAGAGTTAAAACTCCCCAATGTCAACTCAAGAATGAACTGAAGGCTTAAGAAAGGCTGTGTCAGTAACTCTCAATTTCTCTGCCCTCTCTTTAGGCCAAGCACACCCACCTTTACTGTGTTTTTGGCCTTTGTTGCTTCTTTCCCACCTTTCTGCTTCCTTGATCAATAGACGTTGTGTTTTGGAGCCTCCAGTTACACTGGAAATGCTCCATCCTCAGTGGTTGGGATGCTGTTTAGTTGCCTTCAGCTCCTGACTTTATGTGAGTAAAGGGACAGCACTGATGTGAAACCAAGGTTGGAGTGTTTCTCAAAGGAATGACCAGGTCTTCAAGGTGCTGGGGAGAGCGGGATCTCCCTTGCTGTACCGGATGTCCCTAGGTCAGACTAATTCCCCTACAGTGACTGCTTTGAGAAGCCACGTTCTGACTGATTTACACTGAGCACAAATCAGTTTTCAGGCAAGTGAGGAACTTCACTGTGAGAGTAAGTGCTCACTGTCACCTGACAGAACCTAGAACCACCTGTGAGGTAGTCTCTGGGCAAGCTTGTGGAAGGTTATCTTATATGAATCAATGTGGGAAGAAGTCTTAATTGTTGGGGGGACCATTCTCTGTCAAGGGGGATCCTGGACTGCATAAAATGGAGGAAGCAAACTGGGCAGTGACATGCCTGCATTTGGGCTCTGCTTCTTGACTGTGGAAGCAAAGTCAGTGTCTTCTTCAAGCTTCCAGTACCCTGGCTTCCCCACCTTGGTGGATTGTACCTTGAACTCTGAGTCAGAGCAAACTAATTTTACCCTCAAGTTGCTTTTTATCAAGTATTTTATCATCACAACAAGAAAAGAAAGGATGTACAACATGTCCTGATGATGTTCTTGCCAACTGTGAAAATTTTTATGAAAAGAACTGAAAGTTCGACCCTCGGAGTCGCTGCCTGCTAGGCACCTCCACCTCCAACTGTCTCCGCGTGGCACAAGGCTGGAGCCGTGCTCTTTCCCTGGCGGTGGCAGCAGCAGAGGCGGCGATGGCAGCAGGCAGGGCATGGCTGCTAGCTGTGGCGGGCTCCATGGAGAGCTGCGGCCTCCGGAGCAGAGGCGGCGCTTCCACCGCTGTGCCTGGCTGCAGTGACCCGCGTTCTGTCCCGCGTCCTGCCGGCCGCCAGGCCTAGCCGTCCGTGTCTGTGCTGCTGCCCGAGCATCGCTGACTGTCCTCGGCCCGACTCCCCGGCGGGGTGGTGGCGGCCGGGTCCCCACGGTGGAGGAGGGAGCAGCGGCAGCAGGAGCCAGGCCCAGGCTCTAGGATGAAGTTCAAGTCCAACCAGACGCGGACGAATGACCACAAGGGCTTCAAGAAGCGGCCTGCCTGCCTGTGCTTCCACAGCGAGCGCGGGGGGGAGGAGGTGCTGTTGGTGAGTAGCAGTGGGTACCCAGACCAGTGGATTGTTCCAGGAGGAGGGATGGAGCCGGAGGAAGAGCCTGGTGGTGCTCCTGTGAGAGAAGTATATGAAGAGGCTGGAGTCAAAGGAAAATTGGCCAGACTCCTGGGAATATTCGAGAATCAAGACCGGAAGCACA